TTAAGCACTTTCAACTGACACTAAGGTCAATGACTTTGTGATCTTGACTGTGACCTATATGCTAAAAATAGCTTTTTCAAACTTTCGCCATAACTTTCCAACCATAGGAGATAGAGAATTTATATTTGATAAGCATACTCTACTAATTAAGTGCTTTCAAACGACATCAAGGACAATGATTGTGTGACCTTGACTGTGACCTATTTGCTAAAAATTGCTTTTTAGAACTTTGTTGCCGCCGGGCGCTTAGTGTTTAACAAACACATCTTGTTTAAAATACAATTATCACAATTTTTTTTTTACCTTTAACCAGTACTTCAGAATTCTAGATTTTCTGTTCCATTGTAATAGTTTCTTTCCTAATTCAATATAAACCATCATAGAGAAAGTTTTTTAACACCTAGAGACTGGTGTAGTACTCCTTTACAAAAATCTGAGTGGCTACTTTCCTTTTCTCCTGCTGCGTAAAACCACCAAACTTCGCAATCATAATTTGCTATACTACCATGTTCGTTATCAAAGTACTTTGAATTTTATTAAATTTACCGTTATAATTCAAAGTTTTTCCTAGGCAATCACAATTTTCAATAATATCAATTTGTTGCCATACTTTCAACAGTAATTTTTCTTCATCTACCTTGTAAACCTTGTTCTGTCTCTGAGAAAAGCCGTTGTCGTCTGCATACATTATCAAAAATTTAGCAAGAGCTCTTATTTCTACGGGAATATAAATATTCTGTATAAATTCCATTTCAAAATCATTTACAAACAGAGAAATAAAAATGTAGATAGACATTCACACTGTATCAAGCTCTCTTGGCAACCAAAATACTCAAGATTTTATATTAGAATACAAAGATTTAATAATATTCAACAACTGACAATCAAAACCACTTTTTGCTAATTTAGTTTATATAATATTTCAAAGAATTTTATCAAATGCGTTAACTTTTCATAGTCTACAAAACAGCAAAATATTTTTCCTTTTGCCAATAGCTCGGCTGATCAACCTAAGTAAAACAAAAATAGCATCTGTTATAGAAGTAGAATAACCGGCTTTAATACAAATTGTGCGTCACTTATGATACTATATTAATTTGCATTCACATCTCTGTCAATGCTTGTTATACACTTGAAAAAAGTAATTGATGAAAACTTTTACCGTTTAAAAACTTGAACAAGAATCATATACAAAGAGCGTAGACAAAGGTGTTGGGATTGCAGCGGATGGCAATTCTGGATAGAAAATACCAGTTTAAGAAGTCTACGTCTGCTCTACATCCGGTTTGTATTGTTCCAGTTGACGTTGAACATGATTGTTGTTTTTATTTTTTTCATTTCAAATAATTAAACAAATCCCAACTTCACATATAGCTAATTGAAAAATATATATTTCCTATTCTTGCATACTCATTCGTAGAAGTACTTTCAGATTTTTGGATATAATGTACTATATTTTGTAGTGGAGTATGTTTAACGGTTGTAAATGAGAAGGTGGTTTTGGGTTCTTCGTATACGCGTACGAATACCTCCCGGTATTTAAAGTGACAGCTTATAGGATTTTACTCTACAACTGAGTTCTGAAACGGACATATATGTATAAGGATTGTTAAAAATGGCAGAAGGGGCAACAGGTAAAACAATTATACTTATTTTTTGGAATATTGTTAGTACAGGGTTTTAAGAAAATCTGAGAAAAATCGGGTGTATAGTGTCATGTTAAGTGTAAAAGGGGAGAAGCGACCTAATAATCTGACATTTATTCCTTGGTGCCTCTCTTTACACTCTCAAAACTTTTATTATTAATTTGAAAATCCTTACAAATGTTTTGTGAGTTGAAAAGCAGAATGATATCCTTTAAAAATATGTATATCATAAGTAACGTTTTATAAAACAACTTATTTTTGTCACCCTCGCACTCAGTCAAAAGTGTCTTGAAATGAATGGCAACTGACATCCAGCAGCCAATTTTAATCCAGAACTAAAAGAAACAATTATACTCATGGAATGCGCCCTTTATCACCCTCATCCACGACGTACATATAATATATCATGTATAACACTGCAACTGTCGGTTAATTCGGCATACAATTGTGCTTAAATTATTATATCAGCTGTGATAATGAATTTTATGATCCCGTAAACGAAGTTTCGGGAGTATATAATTTTTGTCGTGTCCGTCAGTCTGTCTGTCTTCTGTCTGTCTGTCTGTCTCTCTGTCTGTTAGTCCGCAAAAACTTTAACCTTGCCCATAACTTCTGATTTAGAGAAGCTATGATTTTCATATTTCACCTGTGTACTCCTTGTGACAAGACCTTCCTTTGAGTACCACCAAATTTGACCTTTTGACCTTGACCTTGGAGTTTGACCCACTTTTACACAAAATTTCAATCTTTTACTTTGGCTATATCTTTGGAACAGTAGATATCAGGGCATTTATACTTCATATATGTATTCTTTGTTTAAAGACCTTTCATTGGATACGCTAGTGCTTCTGAATACATGACAATCCCAAAAAAAATTTGTTGAAATCTGCGTTCCATTTTATAATCTATTCAATATTGATTATGTAAAGAAAAAAATAATTTGTCGTTCTGTTCAGACATTTTGGCCACTTTTTTATTGCTTTTTTAAAGACCGCCGATTGAAAGATTTTTTTTGATCCTCAAAGGATTTTATTCTTCAAACTACTTTTTGTAACCAGGATTTTTTATTCTTCATTCAATAGAAAATTCACGGTGTAGCGTGTCTAACATTTGGTTGCAATTTTTTTTTCACGCCTATTGAATTTTTAATAATATGTTTACCCTAACTGCATGCTGTTTGTATATGCACAACGTGTACAATGTGGCTTGGTTACCTACTTAAGACGATCAATAGTTGTGCACATTTGCATTCGATACCTAGCTGTGAATCTGATATTATAATATCAAACTGCATAATACCCCTCTTTGGTCAAAATTTTTGTATCCATTTTAACACTTATGCAATTTATAACATCTTTATGAAAATAAAATTGACTTTATTCATGTGCTGATAATTTCTTGATTATTTTTTTTCAAAGAGACCATCCTTTAACCGTCATTTTTCCCGTCTAGATAAGGAAACAGAAAAGATCAGGAAGAAAAAGTTAGGTCATATCTTGACCTTTGGCAAAACCTTAAATTAGTCTTATACAAAATACACTACGTGACAACCAACAAGGAAAAGTGTTTGATTCACACTCATTAAACATTTCTTGGTACACTGTATATATTTTTATGCGCCCGAATTTATTCGGAGCGTATATTGTTTTTGTCGTGTCTGTCTGTTTGTCTGTTTATCTGTTTGTCTGTCTGTTGTCAACTTTAACCTTCGCCATAACTTTTGAACCGTGAGTGATAGAGACTTCATATTTGGTATGCATACTCCACTAATTAAGCACTTTCAACTGACACTAAGGTCAATGACTTTGTGATCTTGACTGTGACCTATATGCTAAAAATAGCTTTTTCAAACTTTCGCCATAACTTTCCAACCATAGGAGATAGAGAATTTATATTTGATAAGCATACTCTACTAATTAAGTGCTTTCAAACGACATCAAGGACAATGATTGTGTGACCTTGACTGTGACCTATTTGCTAAAAATTGCTTTTTAGAACTTTGTTGCCGCCGGGCGCTTAGTGTTTAACAAACACATCTTGTTTAAAATACAATTATCACAATTTTTTTTTTACCTTTAACCAGTACTTCAGAATTCTAGATTTTCTGTTCCATTGTAATAGTTTCTTTCCTAATTCAATATAAACCATCATAGAGAAAGTTTTTTAACACCTAGAGACTGGTGTAGTACTCCTTTACAAAAATCTGAGTGGCTACTTTCCTTTTCTCCTGCTGCGTAAAACCACCAAACTTCGCAATCATAATTTGCTATACTACCATGTTCGTTATCAAAGTACTTTGAATTTTATTAAATTTACCGTTATAATTCAAAGTTTTTCCTAGGCAATCACAATTTTCAATAATATCAATTTGTTGCCATACTTTCAACAGTAATTTTTCTTCATCTACCTTGTAAACCTTGTTCTGTCTCTGAGAAAAGCCGTTGTCGTCTGCATACATTATCAAAAATTTAGCAAGAGCTCTTATTTCTACGGGAATATAAATATTCTGTATAAATTCCATTTCAAAATCATTTACAAACAGAGAAATAAAAATGTAGATAGACATTCACACTGTATCAAGCTCTCTTGGCAACCAAAATACTCAAGATTTTATATTAGAATACAAAGATTTAATAATATTCAACAACTGACAATCAAAACCACTTTTTGCTAATTTAGTTTATATAATATTTCAAAGAATTTTATCAAATGCGTTAACTTTTCATAGTCTACAAAACAGCAAAATATTTTTCCTTTTGCCAATAGCTCGGCTGATCAACCTAAGTAAAACAAAAATAGCATCTGTTATAGAAGTAGAATAACCGGCTTTAATACAAATTGTGCGTCACTTATGATACTATATTAATTTGCATTCACATCTCTGTCAATGCTTGTTATACACTTGCAAAAAGTAATTGATGAAAACTTTTACCGTTTAAAAACTTGAACAAGAATCATATACAAAGAGCGTAGACAAAGGTGTTGGGATTGCAGCGGATGGCAATTCTGGATAGAAAATACCAGTTTAAGAAGTCTACGTCTGCTCTACATCCGGTTTGTATTGTTCCAGTTGACGTTGAACATGATTGTTGTTTTTATTTTTTTCATTTCAAATAATTAAACAAATCCCAACTTCACATATAGCTAATTGAAAAATATATATTTCCTATTCTTGCATACTCATTCGTAGAAGTACTTTCAGATTTTTGGATATAATGTACTATATTTTGTAGTGGAGTATGTTTAACGGTTGTAAATGAGAAGGTGGTTTTGGGTTCTTCGTATACGCGTACGAATACCTCCCGGTATTTAAAGTGACAGCTTATAGGATTTTACTCTACAACTGAGTTCTGAAACGGACATATATGTATAAGGATTGTTAAAAATGGCAGAAGGGGCAACAGGTAAAACAATTATACTTATTTTTTGGAATATTGTTAGTACAGGGTTTTAAGAAAATCTGAGAAAAATCGGGTGTATAGTGTCATGTTAAGTGTAAAAGGGGAGAAGCGACCTAATTATCTGACATTTATTCCTTGGTGCCTCTCTTTACACTCTCAAAACTTTTATTATTAATTTGAAAATCCTTACAAATGTTTTGTGAGTTGAAAAGCAGAATGATATCCTTTAAAAATATGTATATCATAAGTAACGTTTTATAAAACAACTTATTTTTGTCACCCTCGCACTCAGTCAAAAGTGTCTTGAAATGAATGGCAACTGACATCCAGCAGCCAATTTTAATCCAGAACTAAAAGAAACAATTATACTCATGGAATGCGCCCTTTATCACCCTCATCCACGACGTACATATAATATATCATGTATAACACTGCAACTGTCGGTTAATTCGGCATACAATTGTGCTTAAATTATTATATCAGCTGTGATAATGAATTTTATGATCCCGTAAACGAAGTTTCGGGAGTATATAATTTTTGTCGTGTCCGTCAGTCTGTCTGTCTTCTGTCTGTCTGTCTGTCTGTCTGTCTCTCTGTCTGTTAGTCCGCAAAAACTTTAACCTTGCCCATAACTTCTGATTTAGAGAAGCTATGATTTTCATATTTCACCTGTGTACTCCTTGTGACAAGACCTTCCTTTGAGTACCACCAAATTTGACCTTTTGACCTTGACCTTGGAGTTTGACCCACTTTTACACAAAATTTCAATCTTTTACTTTGGCTATATCTTTGGAACAGTAGATATCAGGGCATTTATACTTCATATATGTATTCTTTGTTTAAAGACCTTTCATTGGATACCAACAACCTTGACCTTTTGACCTTGAATATTTTCGTACTTGTGAAGAAACTTTAGCTTTGTCCATAACTTTTGAACGGTAAGGGTGAGGACTTTCATACGTCACATATGTAATTCTTGTGAAAAGACCTTTCATTGGATACCAAGAATTTTGAGCCTTTGACCTTGGAGTTTGACCTATTTTTCAAAAGTAAACCATGACCATAACTTTTAAAGGGTTTGGTCTAGTGCTTTCATACTTTACATATTTAATTCTTGTGACAAGACCTTTGATTTGATAGCAAGATCGTTAACCCTTTGACCTTAACCTTGGAGTTTGACCTACTTTTAGAAATTTTTAACCTTGGCCATAACTTCTGAACGAATAGGGCTAAGGTTTCCATATTTTACAAATGTGTTTTATATGGCAAGACCTTTTATTGGATACCAATTATCTTGACCTTTTGACCTTAAACTTGGAAATCTTTGTATTTATGAAAAAACTTTAACCTTGGTCATAACTATTTAAAGGCTAGTGATCTCATACTTCACTTATATAATCCTTGTGAGAAGACCCTTCATTGGATACCAAGAACTTTGAACTTTTGACCTTGACCTTGAAATTTGACCTACTTTTAAAAGCTAACTTTGACCATAACTTTGAAAGGGTTAGGGCTAGTGCTTAAATACTTAACATATATAATCCTTGTTACAAGACCTTTCATTTGATAGCAAGATCTTTGATCCTTTGACCTTGGAGTTTGACCTACTTTTAAAATGTTTAACCTTGGCCATAACTTCTGAACGGTTAGGGCTAGGGCTTCCATACTTTACATTTGTATTTTTTGTGGCAAGACCTTTCATTTGATACCAATGCCATTGACCTTGAAGATTTCCAACCTTGGAAACTTTAACCTTGGCCTACTTTCATATTTCAGTATTTCCTGTGAGAATACCCTAATTTTTATACCAATATATTAAATTTGCATTTAAGAAAACTTTCTTCTTTGCTATGCTGCCATACGGGGGCATCAGTTTTCACAAACACATCTTGTTTTATGGTTGACATTCGCTTTATTTAAGGAATAACTGTCTATTTTTTTTTTATTTCGTGATATGATCAAGGTATTTATGCATAAAATTATCAAGCAAGCCAATCGATTGATCTGATCATCGTCATGAAATAAAAAAAAGTTATTCCTTATATTTACATGCTACTGATTCCGCCAATCCAGTGCTACAAGCCCCGCTTAGTCTCTATTTGTCCCGCTCCGCACGTGATTTTTTTAAACCGCACCTATCGAAGAAACATTGCATTTATGTAGAAATAAAGTACAATACCTATTTGTAATTTTATCTCGGACAAAGACATTGGAAATGTAAATATTTTTAAATAAATTATACTCGATGCTATGTAGTCCACCTTAATGTATGAAAACATAACAATCCCAAAAAAAATTTGTTGAAATCTGCGTTCCATTTTATAATCTATTCAATATTGATTATGTAAAGAAAAAAATAATTTGTCGTTCTGTTCGGACATTTTGGCCACTTTTTTATTGCTTTTTTAAAGACCGCCGATTGAAAGATTTTTTTTGATCCTCAAAGGATTTTATTCTTCAAACTACTTTTTCACTGTATACAAAGTGCTAATCGAAAATCTACTTGATTTGGATCACTAGCTATATTTGTTTGGGTCATTCTAAGTTTCTGTCTGCACATTTAGACAAAAAATGTGCTTTTATATACGTTTTCTTACTGATAATGAAATTACTTCAACCAATATGAGACTTCTTCTTGCTATATTTGAAGATTATCATTTTTTTGTTTCATCTACCCGTCCATAAACATCGATAGCTCGCGTTTTTCACGCATCTAATGATCATTTTTCGACTAAACGTTCTCTGGAATGGACTGTTGACATTATTTCAATAAAACATTTATTGAAATGTTTAATATGAATCTTTATCAAACGTAGATATCAAATTCGACCCCAAGGTCTTTTTCATAACCTGTTAATTACATCAAATATGCACCTACCCAACTTTTCCAGAGCTATATTATGTTTGCGTAGAAAATATCCAGAAAGCTATCTTTGTTGTCATGACAGCTATACTTTTTTCGAGTATACCTATAGCATTTAGGCCTAGTGCAATAAGTACTGTACAATATTTTCTTCTCTTACATTTCAACAATGGCCCAGTCCGTAGGTATGCTCACCTTAAGCGTCTTATGCTCAATCGGTGAGTGTGATACATATTCATTTATATAAATTATAGAAAAAGTAGTGTGGCCTCTTGGTAAGTAACTTAGTTCCATTTTTTCATTCCGGAATAAAGGATTGCTCAAGCATACATTTCTTCAGGAAACGGGAGGGGGTTACATTGTTGTCCTTAACACTAGAAGATCTCAACACAAAAATCCTAGTTTATGGATGGGGATGGAGTCGGCTTAATTGGTGGACAAGCTACATCCTTCCACATATATTCTCATTTTACCTATCAACTTATGACAGTCATTCATCCCCCCCCCCCAAAAAAAAAACATACCAAATTAAGAATTTTCATGTTGCTCACCAATTTACATGTAATATTGTAAAATTTTAAAGATCGATTTCAACTCTTAGACTTTACATATACACATGGTTTTGTAAATATTAAGTGGTATATATATGCATTCAAAGTTTTGATTTGATAATTTAATGATTAATTAAAACGCATTCAACTTCAAATCTTAATGCCGCTTCGTTCATTTACTAATTTCAATTCAGCCAAATAAGCGTTAAGAAGAGATTGCATGAAATATTTTTAAAAATTTCATGTAATAAAAAGAAAACAAATGGTTACCACATTTCTCAAAGAAATGCATGGATCTTTTTACATAGAAATCATAACATATCCCTAAAAATCAGTGAACTTCCGTAACTATATTCTTTTATCGTAGACTGACTGTTAAGAGTTTGCGTTTCTTGGGAAGGAGGGAGGGGGGGGGAGTTATTTTGATATGGTTACTTTAATATTCTTAAATTTTAGTGAATTTGGAAAAAAAAAATCAGGTCTTGATCCCCTAATCTTTATCCTCTTTTCTGGATCTGTCTGTGGGAATATAATGCCATATTTTAATTAAACTTTTAAATTATAGATTCTGTTTCAGATTCTTAGTTTTAAGTTCTGATGTCTGATGATAGTGTGAAAATAGGTGAAATATTACAAAAGTTGCATTATAATCTCTTTATCATAGATTTATAAAAGAGAGAAAAAAAAAGTATACAAGGCGAGGACAATCACCCGCTCTATGACGGAAAAGTTTTATTTTCTAAAATTATGTTGTCGGTAATGTCATATTCAACATATTAGATTCATATATTGTTCTGAAAGGCATATTGATTGAAAATTGTTTTTAGACTTATTTAATCTTATTTAGATTTATAAAAGAGAGAAAAAAAAAGTATACAAGGCGAGGACAATCACCCGCTCTATGACGGAAAAGTTTTATTTTCTAAAATTATGTTGTCGGTAATGTCATATTCAACATATTAGATTCATATATTGTTCTGAAAGGCATATTGATTGAAAATTGTTTTTAGACTTATTTAGTCGAAAATGGGTACGTTTATATTAAATGATTCTAGCTATAAAGTATTGTGTTTAAATTACGGAAAAGTAAATGCATTATGTTTTTTTAATGGCGTCTGAACCCATTCTATCTAAAAGTTGAATATTTCTGAAATGAAAAAAAGTTAGGATAATGGGCATTGATTTATGTCGAAAAATATGCAAACAATACAAACATGTGGGCAGGGCATAAATACCCCCTCCCCCGGGAATATCAGAGATCCAGAGATTTGAACGGGTGCCTAGAGGAGTAAGCATCCCTTGTTGATCGGTCACACATGCTGTGAGTCCTATGCATTGATCAAGTGAACGGAACATTTCGTAATCAAATTTAGTATAAAAACAAAGGTCTAACAGTTGGGTGAGAGAAGTAAGCCAAAAAAAAAAAAAAAAAAAAAAAACGACCCAAGATAAATTAAAGGATAGGTTGAAAAACCTTATTTGTCTCAACAAATTCGTTTCTTTTTAAGCAAACTAACACAAACAACAAGAAGACACCGTAGCAAATTGTGGTTAACGCATCCAGTCTTACGCCTATCATGAGCTTTGGA